TGGTCTTTTTGAGACAGGTCTCCCTGTAGCCCCAGCTGACCTGGAACTCACATGTAGACGAGGCTGGCCTTGCACTCACAGAGATCCGCCTGTCTCTACCTCCCAAGTGCTGGTATTAAAGGCATGTACCACCACACCCAGCCTCCTATTTTCTTTTTTAAAAAATATTTTTAATTGTGTGTGTGTGTGTGTGTGTGTGTGTGTGTGTATGTATGTATGATATATGTATGTGCATACAGGTGCCCACAGAGGACAGAAAATGTTTGATCCCCAGGAGCTGGAGTTATAGGTGGTTGTAAACTACTTGACATGGGTGATGAAAACTGAACTTGGGTCCTGTGCAAGAGCAGTATGTGTTCTTAACTTCTGAGCCATCTGTGTAGCCCCCAAATTCATGAATCTTCAGCAGCAGTTTCTTATGTGTTAAATAAAACATTTGGTTATGGTGTTTTACGCTTGCAGATTTATCAAAAACTCTTCTACAAGTCATGTCTATGACACTGTTCAGTTTTCTTTCTCCAAATATTTAGAACAGATCTTTACTTAAACTAGATTTAGTAAAGTGACATTTTACGTATTGGTTGCCACATCAAAGTTGATCACTGTGTTATAAGTGTATCTTGACAAAACTTGGTTTAGAAAATTGATTAATTCCCCTCCTTTAAAAAAATATTTTATTTACTATTTTTATTTTATGTGTACCAGTGTATTGCCAGCATTCATGTGAGTGCACCTGTGTTGTGCAAAGCCCGGGGAGGTCCGAAGAGGGTGTCAGATCCCCTGAAACTGGAGTTATGAATGGTTGTTAACCATCATGTGGGTTCTGGGAACCGAACCTGGGTCATCTGCAAGAGCAGTCAGTGCTCTTACTGCTAAGCCATCTCCCCAGCCCCTTGTTCTGTTTTTAAGACGGTCTCATGTAGTCTAGACTGGCCTGGAACTCACTAAGTATCTGAGGGTAAACCTTGAACTTCTGGTCTTCTTGCTTCCACATCCCAAATGCTGGGATGGCAGGCACACCACTACACCCAACTAGAGATTTAAAATGTGTTCATTTCCCTTTCAGACTGACATTTTATTATAATTGTTCGAGACAAGTCTCATGTAGCACAGTTTGATCTCTTTATGTATCTTGGATTGACCTTGAACTTCTGATCCTCCTGCCTCTGCCTCTCAAGTGCTATAATTACAGGCATACACTACCATGTCTGGCTGATTTCCTTTTCATGTGAAAAATAATTGTACTATTCCTTTTTTTATACATTTAACCTTTTTTAAACTATTTTTTTTTTTATGTGTATGAGTATTTAGCCAGTATATAATGCCTTCAGAGATCAGAAGAGAGCGTTGGATTCCCTGGAATTGGAGTTGCAGCTCCATGTGGTTCCTGGGAACTGAACCTGGGTCTGCTGCAAGAGCAACCAGTGCTCTTAAACTTGAACCATCTCTCCAGCCCCCTATTTTTAAAATATTTATTTTAATTTTAAATTACATTTACTTATTTGTTTGTTTATTTTGTGTGTGGTATATGTGTCAATGAGTACATGCCATGGTGCACATGTGGAAGTTAGAGAACAGCTTGCCAGAGTTTTTTTTCTCCTTCCATCATGTGGGTCCTGGGGATTGAACTCAGGTTGTCAACCTTGATAATAAGCACTTTTACTTGCTGTGCCATCTTGCCAACCCTTAATTGTTTTTATCACATATATTTATTGTGCTGGATAGCTTTAGTGTCAACTTGACACACCTGGGTTGAGGGAACCTCAATTGGGGAATTGCCTCTATAGAACTGGCCTGTGGCCATGTCTGTGGGGCATCTTGATTGTTGAGTGTTGGGTTGGAAAAGCCATTGAGTACTTAGAGTTTGTTGCTGTAGAGCTTGGAACAGTTATGCTGAAAGAGTTGTGAACAATGGAGGCCTGGCTTGTGAAGCTTCAAAGGGAAGCAGGGACTATCAGGGCTGTTTGTGTGATATTTTGAATTGAGAATCTGTGGGTTCTTGTCGGCTGGGGCTGAAGTAATTAAGAAGAGACCAGAACATGAAGTAAAACCTTTGCTTTACTGGAACAATTGATGCTAGTTAGCTGGGGCTGAAAAATCAGCTGTAAGTAACAAGAGACCAGCATCACCATGGTGAAATCTTCTGGGAAGTATTTCCTCAGGGTCTGCACACAGAAGCTGTGGTCAAGAGGGGACCTGAGCCTCCATCTCTAGCTGAAAGCAGGACTTGGTAATATTAAGAGTCTCCTGGATGGTTCTGGTGATGAAAGCGTGAAGGGGTCACAGAGCAGCTGAGGCTTGGTACTCTGAGAGGCCTGGAAAGGCCATAGGTGAAAGTGCAGCTTCAGTTACAGTGAAGACCCCAGGATTGAAGGGGTCATGGAGAGAACCTGAGGCTTTGCACCCCAAGAGGCAAGAAGAGGCCATTGGTGAAGGTGCAGCCTCAGTTTCAGTGGAGACCCCCTGCTTTTTGGAGGTTCCAGGACCATGGGGTGACCACCAAGGGCAGCGGCAGGTACAGAATGGGAGCCTTCCTGGGTCCTCGAGACAAGCTGTGTGTGCTGTGGATGGCAGAGTCAGAGAGGTGGAACTGTCAGAACCCTTTGGAGCCCAGAAGATCGTGAGTGAATCCCAGATGTCCAGCCTTGAGCTACTTTGCTGGACTTTGGTTTTGCTTAGGTGTGCCCGATTCTTCCCTTTGAAATAAGACAGTACTTGTTTTGGATTTTACAGGAGCCCCCAGTTGAGACTTTTAAAAGAGACTATGGACTTTTAAGTGTTTGGATTTTAAGGACTGTGGGGCTTTTAGGGTTGTACTGTCTTATGTTGTGATATTAATATCATATCTTGTGGACAAGAATTGGAAAGGTTATGGTTTTATAGTGATGTGTTTGTGTGTCAAGTTGACAAGGGGTCAGTTGTGCTGGATAGCTTTAGTGCCAACTTGACACACCTGGGTTGAGGGAGCCTCAACTGGGGAATTGCCTTTACTGGACTGGCCTGTGCCATGTCTGAGGGGCATCTTCTTGATTGTTGAGTGATGTGGGAGGGCCCAGCCCACTGTGGGGGGTGCCACCCCTGGGCAGGTGGGCCTGTGTTGCATAAGAAAGCAGGCCGAGGGGATGGAGAGATGGCTCAGCAGTTAAGAACACTGACTGTTCTTGCAGAAGACCCGGCTTCAAATCCCAGCCCCTACCTGGCAGCTAACAACCATCTGTAACTCCAGTTCCAGGGGATCCAACACCCTC